CCAACAGTTCCAATTAAGTGGAAAGTAGTACCTGTTCTTCTACATCCTCATAAATATGTAGAAATAATCGCTTTCTATGATTCCTGGCTCCAGGTACTTGAGGCTCCTACCTTCACTGAACATTCTCCCCACCTGGTGTAAAACTCAGTCCTTGGATGTACAAGATGTCCCAAAAACTGTATACACACTTGGCCCTGGCTGTGGTTAGAGCGTCGGCCTGCGGACTGAAGGCTCCGGAGTTCAATTCCGGTCAAGGGCACATGCCCGAGTGTGGGCTCCATCCCCAGTAGGGGGCGTACAGGAGGCAGCCAATAGATGATTATCTCTCATCATTGAGGTTTCTATTTCTCCCTCTCCCTTCCTCTCTGAAATCAATAATAATCTATTTTTTAAGTCAATATAATGCTCTGATTATAATATAAGGAGAAATCCATGTATAATAGCATCAACTGGGTTTTGGCGTGCACATGCCTGGGCACGGGCTGTGCTTGGGCTGACTGGCAGAGTCCCTGCAGCAGTGAGAAAAGCTAGGGGCACACCCAAAGGACCGCTCAGACCCCGTCAGGCGTTGCCATTGGAAACGAGATTTTATGAAAGGCTGAACAGTGCCAGGTAAAGGTCAGAGCAAATCAAAGTATAATCTTCTGTCAATTTGCATGCTTTGAACTCCTGGAACATTATTAAAGCCATGCAAAAATGTCCTTGTGCTTGTATTAGTCAGCTCGGGGGGCCATGACAAATCCCACAGCCAGGGCCCTTCAGTCACGACATTCACTGCTCACAGTTCCAGAGGCTGGAGGTCCGAGATCGGTGCCAGGGTTCTGAGGAGAGCTCACTTTCTGGTCTCTGTGTCCTCACTCTGGTGTCTCCTCATAGAAGGACATAAATTCCATCAGATGAAGGCCCCACCCTTAACCCCAATTAACTGTAATTACTTCCTGGGTCCAAACGCTGCCATACGGGGAGGTGGGGGTAAGGGGAGGTGAGGGCATGTGCCCAGGGTTAGGGGAGGCCAGGGGAAGGTCAATGGGGAATAAAAGAAGATATATTTGTAATACTTTAAACAAAAAAAAATTTTTTTAATGCTGCCACACTGGGGTTAAGGCCTCAACATGTGGATTCAGGGAGGGATGTGAGGGAAGGGGCACACAATTCAGTCCACAGCAGTGGTTCAGTGTAAAATACCTTAAGTTCTAGGTTGGGGTCATTAACAGGTTTGTTGTTGTTGTTGTTGTTAACAGGTTTTTACCCCTTTGAATGAATGCCAGTTCTTTTTCTTTTTCTTTTTTTAAAAATATATTTTATTGATTTTTTTACAGAGAGGAAGGGAGAGAGGTAGAGAGTTAGAAACAACGATGAGAGTCATTGATCAGCTGCCTCTTGTTCGCCCCCTACTGGGGATGTGCCCACAACCAAGGTACATGCCTTTGACCGGAATCGAACCCGGGACCCCTCAGTCCACAGGCCGTTTTATCCACTGAGCCAAACCGGTTTCAACATGAACGCTGGTTCTTTTTGTGCGAATCATCCCCGTAATTTGCTGGGTGGGAAGCCTGACTCACCCAGAGCACAAACCACTAGACACCTTAACCCTGGGACCATCAAAAGTGGGCAGAGACCCGAGTCACCCCGAGCTGTGGTCAACCAACTGAGGGCCACTGTCCGTGGGAGGTCTCAGGAGACCCTTTGTAGGGATGGCATGTGCTGGAGAGGATGCAGCGACCAATAGTTCCTTTATATTTGTCCTTCTTGGGAATTACCGCGTCTCCTTGGTTGGTGGGGTCTTTGGGGAGATTCTCAGCTACGACATCTTCAAATACCGTTTCAGCCCCATTCTCTCTCTCTCTCCTCTAACTGCACATGCATTACAATTTCCATTGTGTTCCACGTGTTGTTTATGCTCTTTCTATGATTTTTAAAAAATATATATATATTTTATTGATTTTTCACAGAGAGGAAGGGAGAGGGATAGAAGGCTAGAAACATCGATTGAGAGAGATACATTGACCAGCTGCCTCCTGCACACCCCTCACCGGGGATGTGCCCACAACCAATGTACATGCCCTTGACCAGAATTGAAGCTCTTGAGCCTGCATGAAGCTCTATCCACTGAGCCAAACCAGTTTCGGCTTTCTATGATTTTTTAAAATTCACTTTCTCTGTGATTGGGTTTGCTATTTCCTACTAATCACTCTCCCGGTTCACTCAATCTGTCTGTGTTCAATCTCCCGTCACACCCAGCCCTGACTGATTCCTTTCAGTTGTGTTTTTCTCCAGAGTCTTCTGCGGAGCTGGGAGGCAGCTCCCTGGCACACCTTTATACAGTGCCATTTGACAATGTGTATCCACATTCTTGGAAACGTGCCCACCCACTAATCCCCAGATCCCACTGCTAGAAACCTGACCTTCGGAGATAATTATGCAAGTGTGTGGGCCGTGGGCCAGAATGCATCCCCAGAGCTGTTGAGAGCGCAGGAGTGGGTGAATCCCCCGTAGAGCCAATTGCCAGCAGAGCTCTTGGAGGTGCTCCGTCCTGTCCAACGACACAGCTCTTGGTCCCAGTGTTGGAGCAGAGCGCTGTATACTGACAGGTTTGGAGGCCAGATTGTTTTTTAAAAAAATGTCTGTGAACATTGGAGACGGATTCGATTCGCTTGACAGCACTCAGCTACAAGCATGGAGAATGAGCCGAGCTGAGCGGAGGAGCCACTAGCTCCCTTTTCATGGGAACCCTGACCCTCCAAACCCACCCAACCAGCCCCACCTCAGCCAGTGGCCGTTAAATGAGACTCTACTGTAGTGAAACATCCATTGACTGAAAGAATCCACTCTTTAAGTCTTTATTTATTTTAGAGAGAGAGAAAGGGAGAGATAGAAACATCAGTGATGAGAAAGAATCATTGATCTGCGCCTCCTGCGGAATGCCCCCTATTGGGAATGGAGCCCATAACCCGGGTAAGTGCCCTGGCCGAAAATTGAACCATGACCTCCTGGTTCATAGGTCAACACTCAACCACTGAGCCACACGGGTGGGGCTTCAGAAATAATTTTAATGAAAAAATGAACTTAAAAAAGTAAGTAAATTTTTATAGAAAATACGCTGGCCACCCTTTATAATCCTGGTGTTGACTCAGGCATCGCAGATGGGTTGACATTACATTTTGAACAGCTCTTCCCAGGGCCTCTTCTAGTATCTGGATGGGAAGCTGCTTGATTAATGAATTGATTAATAAAGCTAATTAGGTCTTCAAATCTACTCGGTTGAATTTTGTTTTTTGTTTTTTAACAAGATTGCCAAACTTGTAGAGCATGTTTATGACTTCCTTTGAGCCAAACTGACAACAATTGCTGGAATGGAAAATCCTAAGGACTGAGAATATGCTCTGGAAAAGGGCAGCTTTACAGCTCATTAGAATCAAATGAGACCTAAGGAGGCCCCACCCCATGGGAGAATGCTTTTGAAAGGGACAGCCGAAATCGAAACCGGCGTGGCTCAGTGGATAGAGCGTCGGCCTGCAGACTGAAAGGTCCCAGGTCCGATACTGGTCAAGGGCATGTACCTTGGTTGCGAGCACATCCCTAGTAGGGGGTGTGCATGAGGCAGCTGGTTGATGTTTCTCTCTCATCGATGTTTCTAGCTCTCTATCCCTCTCCCTTCTTCTCTGTAAAATATAAATAAAATATATTTTAAAGCCCTAACTGGTTTGGCTCAGTGGATAGAGTGGACTCAAGGGTCCCAGGTTTGATTCTGGTCAAGGGCATGTACCTTGGTTGTGGGCACATCCCCAGTGGGAGGTGTGCAGGAAGCAGCTGATGTGATGTTTCTAACTCTCTATCCCTCTCCCTTCCTCTCTGTAAAAAAATCAATAAAATATATTAAAAAATATATTTTTAAAAAAAGAAAGAAAGAAAAGAAAGAGGAAACAGACAACAACAACAACAGCAAAGTAATATATTTTCTTTTTTTAAAGAAAGAGGAGACAGGGCATGGGTTGTGGGGTGGGCACTGGCCACATGGTCCAGCCAGGACACCCTGAGGCAGAGGGCCAGGACTGAGGGCTGGGCGCCCTGGTGTCCCCAAGTGTCTCATGGCGTTCCGGATGTCTGCCCTGGTGAGCTCCTAGTCCCATGGCAAGTGCGCTCCGGCGGGGCAGGGACCTGGGCCTGGGCCCTTGGTTCCAGGGCGCGTGAGGAACTCATGGGTCCTCCCGCGGGTCTGCGAGGTGAAACCAGGTGTGGATCGGACGCCGGTTCGGGGCCCTCCGGGGGGCTCGGCGGTGGAACTGAGCGGGAACCTGGCCCTGCAGGTGCCGCGGGGCAGCCCGGTCACGTCCAGCCGCGCCCGCCGGGGCCTGCGTGGCTGTTCCCGGCGGACGGGCTCGTGGTCCTGGGGCGCCCGCAGCGTGGTAGGGCCGGAGGCTGGAGGCGGGGCTCGGGCTGACGGTCCGGATGAATGAATCGGTGCCTTGAATGAATGGGCGCCGCTGCAGTGCCCTTCCTGGTGAAATTAAAGGGCAAACCCAGCCTTTTTTGGGGGGTGGGGGAGGAAGTAGTTGCCCCCCTCTACGAGGCAGGAGCGCAGAGTGCCCTCGGTCGCCCAGATCCGGAGCGGGGAGTAGGAAATATGGAATGGCTGGGGGCAGCGTGGGAGTGTGCGTGTGCGGTTTCGCTTTTTCTGGTCCCCAGGGCGGGGCCTGAGGGACGGGAGGGGCGGGGCGTGCTCTTAGCCACGCCCCATCTCACCCCGGCGCGCTCTTAGCCCCGCCCCACCCCTCCCGTCCCGCTCTCAACCCCGCCCCTCCCCGCCCCGGCGCGCTCTTAGCCCCGCCCCGGCGCAGCGCCGCGCAGGACCCGCGGGTTTCCAGCCGCGCTGAGGTCACAGGCAGGCGGCCTGGCGGCGTCCGAGCCGAAAGCCTGCGCCGAGCGGGGCCGGAGCGGAGCCCGAGCCGAAGCGGAGCCCGAGCCCCTCCAGCAGGGAGAGGCCGACCGTGCAGGCCGGCATGGAGGAGGAATGCCGGGTGCTCTCCATCCAGAGCCACGTCGTCCGCGGCTACGTGGGGAACCGGGCGGCCACGTTCCCGCTGCAGGTAGGCTTACGTAACCCGCGGGGTCCCGGCGGCCGCCGCCGGCCCGCGTGACCTTGGCCGGCCCCCGTCTGGCCAGGAGCACCGGGCGGGTGCTTGCGGGGAGACAGACGGGCTGGGGGCGCCGGGTTCGGCGGAAGACTCCGTGCTAGCCTCGCGCACCCTGCGGTCCCCATCCCTTCCCGCTCCGCTGCCTGACCCCGGCAGACGGCTTCCCCGTGGGCGAGAAGATGCCCCGCCGTGGCCCGGACCGTGCCCCAGAGCGAACGAGGCAGGATGGGCAGGTGCTTGCAGTGCTCACCTGCCGGGCGCAGTGCTCTGCCCTTGCCCGCTGTGGGTCAGGCTGCCGTGATCGAGGGTGGAGGAGGAGGAGGAAGAGGAGGAGGAGGAGGAGGAGGAGAAGGAGGAGGAAGAGAAGGAAACTCACGATAAGGCCCCGCCTTCTAGGATGCCCGTCCCCCCCACCCCCATGTGGGCCCCCACACTGCGGCTGACCATTCCGGGAGGTGTCGCTGGAGGGAGATGGGGCAGAGAAGGTCTGCCTGCTGGGGCTGGCTCTGGAGAAGAAGATCCCACAGACCAGTTCAGGCCCCTGCAGGGTTTGGCAAAAAAGCTGCTCTTTCAACGTGTCAATCTTTCCGTCTGGCCTCCCCACTGGGCTGCTCTCCTGCTTCATATGGAGGGGCTCAGCATCTCCTGGGCATGCACTGCTTCATATCGCAGCCCTCGGAGGGGCAGGAGGAGGCCTGGGGGCAGTGAGGTGGGCCGCTGGACAACAGGCAGCACCACAGGGCCGGGCACCTTGGCAAGGTGGTGATCCTCCTGGACTGTCCGCCTTTGGTTTGATATTTGAGCAAGGAACAGGTATGGCAGGCCCCAGGGCTGGCCCCATAGGGCATGAAGGTATGCAGCGGTGCAGGCTGCCATACCCAAAGCCGGAAGAGGAAATAGTGGAGCAAACACTTGCAGGTGGACAGGTACAAAGGTTCAGGTTCAGAGGGATCAGCGGGCCCTGACCTGTGAGCAGCTCCACAGGTCTGGTCCTCATCCCTCCTGCTCTGGCCAGCAGAGGGCAGACTCGTGGGGTAGTCACCCTGCAAACTTGGGGTGTCCCACAGTTCCCACTCCTGGTCACTGCTCTGGAATGCCCCCCCCCCCCCTAGCATGTGGAGGGTGGGGGTGGGGTGGAGACTTGGCAGGTAGGTGGCAGTCGGAGTAGGGCCATTGGAGTGGGACTGTGGGGGGAGGAAGAGAGGGGGGAAGGTGAAGCTGCAGGGTCCCTGGGCAGAGCGGGGGCAGCCCAGGGAGATGGAAGCAGGAGGGCTTTGAGAACAGGTTCTGCTCGCTGCCAAGGGCAGCAGCAGCTCCAGCCTGGACTTGGCCCGGGAGCCGTGGGAACCGCCCGCAGCTTCTTTGTGCCCTCTGCCCTGCAGGCTCCCAACCTGGAGAGGTGCCTCTTAAAGACAGAGCTGCGGGTTGTTGTTTGTGTGTGTGTGTGTGTGTGTTTACATATATTTTATTGATTTTTACAGAGAGGAAGAGAGAGGGATAGAAAGTTAGAAACATCGATGAGAGAGAAACATCGATTAGCTGCCTCTTGCACAACCCCCACTGGGGATGGGCCCACAACCAAGGTACATGCCCTTGACCGGAATAGAACCTGGGACCTTTCAGTCTGCAGACCGATGCTTTATCCACTGAGCCAAACCGGTTGTGACTGTTTTTTTTTTGTTTTGTTTTATTTTGTTTTGTTTTTAATATATTTTATTGATTTTTTACCGAGAGGAAGAGAGAGGGATAGAAAGTTAGAAACATTGATGAGAAAAAACATCGATTAGCTGCCTCTTGTACAACTCCTAATGGGGATGTGCCTGCAATCAAGGTACATGCCCTTGACTGGAATCGAACCTGGGATCTTTCAGTCTGCAGGCTGACGCTCTATCCATTGAGCCAAACCAGTTTCCCCAGGGCCTAGCATCTTTACTTAGGGACACGTGTGCTGGGGCTTATGGGACATAGGCTGGGGGACAAGGGTCATGTCATTTCCTTCCTCCTGTCACCGGCAGGGGTTGGTGACACATATTCCCAGCCTTGCACTCCCCTCCCTCCCCCTTAAGGTTTCTGGGGTGTAGGGGGAGCGTGGCAGGATGGGGGTCATGGAAAGCAGGGACCATTAGGTTAGTGACCTTGAAGAGGCCACTTTCTCCATTGAGACCTCTGGTGTTCAGTTGCCTCATGTACGAATGGGCCTGACGCTTTAGTCTCACTGGCGATGGGGGCGATGGGGAGTGAGCACAGTTCCCTGAGGCGCCCCCTGTGGAGTGAGGTGGAGCAGCAGTGCCCGGGGTGTTTTCTTCCCCTCTCCCCAGGCACAGTCGGGCAAGCCTGAGGCACCCTCAGGAGGCCGGACCACTTCCTGGTGTCCTTTGCCCTAATTACTTCCTCTTCCTGATGACAGAAGTAAGATCTAGCCCAAACCCGTTTGGCTCAGTGGTAGAGCATCGGTCTGTGGACTGGAAGGTCCCAGGTTCGATTCCAGTCAAGGGCATGTACATTGGTTGCGGGCACATCCCCGGTGGGGGGTGTGCAGGGGGCAGCTGGTTGATGTTTCTCTCTCATCGACATTTCTAGCTCTCTATCTCTCTCTCTTCCTCTCTGTAAAAAATCAATAAAATATATATTAAAAAAAAGAAAAAGAAATAAGATCTAGTGAGGAGGGAGGGGAGGGGAAGAGGAATAAGGAAAGGGAGAAAGCCAGGGTGGGTCTCAAAATATGCTTCCTTGTTTCTCCGTGGGTTAGAGTACCAAGGCACGCACCCAAGGGTCCATCGCAGGTGTGATTCCCAGTCAAAGGCAAAGGCATGTTCCTGGATCGCAGGTTCCACCCCGGCCCTGTGCGGGAGGCAACCAAAAATGTGTCTCTCTCATCGATGTTTCTTTATCTCTTTCTCTCTCTTACTCCCTCCCTTCCACTCTCTCTAAAAAAAAAATCAATGGAAAAAAGGACCTTCGATTGAGGATTAACAACAACAAAAAATAAAGAACATACTCCCTGCAAAGCTGGAACTGAAACAGAACTGCGTTAGTCAGTTCACAGTCGGGGGGGCTCAGAGACAGATTCTATTCTTGCCCAGTCCTGGAGGCTGGAAGTCTGAGATCAAAGTGTGGGAAGGGCTGGTTTCTCCCCAGGCCTCTCTCCTTGGCGTGTGGAGGGAGCCTTCTTCCTGTGTCCTCACATGGTTGCCCCTCTATGTGTTTGTGTCCTAATCTCTTCCTCTTATGAGCATACCAATCATGCTGGATCTGTGCCGATCCTAGTGGCTTTGTTTAACCTCAGTTACCTCTGTAATGGCTCCGTCTGCACTAATAAAAGAGTTAGATGCAAAGTGACCTTACCTTCATCATGCCCTCCAGCCAATCAGGAGGGGGTATGCAAACTAACCCAACAAAGCTGGTGGGTTAATTTGCGTACGCAGGTGCTGAGTGGCTGGGGTGGGGTGGTCCACACAGCCCCAGCTGCTCAGGGCCTCTGGGCAGCATGAGAAGGTGGAAAAGTGGTTCGGCTGGAGCGAAGGCAGTGCCAGCAGCCAGGGAAAGGAAGGCCCATTCTTGCACAGATCTTCATGCCTCGGGCCTCTAGTCTTTAAATTTCATTCTGAGATGCTAGGGGTCAGGGCTTCCACATATGGATTTTGGGGGGGACACAGTTCAGAGCATGACAAGAACAGTTTCCAGAAATATCGTAGCTCATTGGACTCTTTCCTACCCTTAAAAACAAACAAACAACAACAAAAAAAAACAACAGTTGGTTTTAGAGAGAGAGGAAGGGAGAGAGAGGGAGAGAAACATCGATCGCCTGCTTCCCATACCCGCCCCGACCAGGGATCGAATCGGCAACCTAGGTAGGTGCCCTGACCGGGAACTGAGCCTGCAACCTTTTTGATAGACGAGAGGACTTTCCAACCAACTGAATGGGGCACCCTGCCCTTTAGTAGACGTAGTTTCTGTCTTAACTGTTTTCGTGGTGACTCATCCTTAGCCAACAGTACAAGAGCTGCCACCAAGAAGCACGCCCACCCCCCACCCTCACCCTCCCCGCAGCAGTCATCCTGTCCTGGGAGTGACCCGCCAGGTTTGAGACCTCCTGAGCGTCTCCAGCCGTCCCCGCATGCTGTCCAGGCTGCACAGACCTGCTCCTCTCCTCTGTGCTGTGTGACTCCCCCATTTCCTTCTGGAATCCCCCGGTCTGATCCAGACGGGCTCCAGGCCTGGAAATTTCTCCAGGAAAGTCCAGAATTGCTTAATATCGTGATTTCTAACTTCTTTCGTAGTTTGGGGTTGAAGTTTCTGTTTCTCTTGGCTGGTCATTAGAGAAAAGCAAGAATTTAACTGGTTCCATTTTCTGACCTTTCCCCCACCGTATGTGTGTGTATGTGTGTGTGTGTGTGTGTGATGTGAGTATGCATGTGCTGTGGGCATAGTTGTGCGTCTGTGTACATATGGGTGCATACGTGCTTGGACATGTGCATGTGCCATTTTCTTATGTGGCGTTGCTGTTGTCAGCGTGGGATCCCGTTTTCTGCTTAAGTGACCGCCTCACGGGGAAGGAGAGGGAGCCTCAGCCAGCAGGCGTCTTCCCTGTTGTGGGGCCGATTGTCTCTGCACCTCATGGGCTTGGCGGCCCCCTTTGCACACCCCACGGAGCTTTTGATCTGGAATCAGCCAGTTCCATTCAGAGTGATCTGGAAGAGGGACGCTGTGGGACAGAGTCAGGGGACTTTCTCAAGGAGAAAGGAAGGCGGCATGGGGACATGGGCCGCCAGGAGCAGACGCCCTGTCAACCATCTGTACGCAGGTGCCACGGGGAGCTTGGGTGAGGCCCCCTCTCTTGAGGCTTTGCAGTGCCACCCAGCAGACCCTGACCCTGTGCAGGGCATGGTGGGAGACGGAAGCCAGGGAGCGGGGTGCACCGCGCTGGTGTACATGGGCTGAGGGGATGGGGT